TGATCTTGTGTGTCTGACACTGATCATGTGTGTGTGTCTGACACTGATCTTGTGTGTCTGACACTGATCATGTGTGTGTGTCTGACACTGATCTTGTGTGTCTGACACTGATCATGTGTGTGTCTGACACTGATCTTGTGTGTCTGACACTGATCTTGTGTGTCTGACACTGATCTTGTGTGTCTGACACTGATTATTGTGTGTGTCTGACACTGATCATGTGTGTGTCTGACACTGATCTTGTGTGTCTGACACTGATCTTGTGTGTCTGACACTGATCTTGTGTGTCTGACACTGATCTTGTGTGTCTGACACTGATCATGTGTGTGTCTGACACTGATCTTGTGTGTCTGACACTGATCTTGTGTGTCTGACACTGATCTTGTGTGTCTGACACTGATCATGTGTGTGTCTGACACTGATCTTGTGTGTCTGACACTGATCATGTGTGTGTCTGACACTGATCTTGTGTGTGTCTGACACTGATCTTGTGTGTGTGTCTGACACTGATCTTGTGTGTGTCTGACACTGATCTTGTGTGTGTCTGACACTGATCTTGTGTGTGTGTCTGACACTGATCTTGTGTGTGTGTCTGACACTGATCTTGTGTGTGTCTGACACTGATCTTGTGTGTCTCACAGGGAACCTGCTGAACAGTCTGATGGGCTCTGGTGAGGAAGAGGATGGTGTTGAAGAGGCCCAGGAGGACAGCAGTCCCATAGAACTGGACTGAGCCTGCAGAAGACCAGATCAAAGCCAGATGAAGCCCACTCTGCCTCCTCACCTGATGGGGGCGGGGCCAGGTGTCATTCCTCCCCTCCTCCCTGTCTGTGGACAGACTGCAGCAGTCTGTCATCATGTTGAACTCTTAGGTTTTATTTAAGCATCAGTTTGTGTGTAGCTTGTTTAGGGTTGTGATGTGCAGATGAACTGTTGTGTGTGTGTGGAAAGCTTTAATGATGGTGATGATGGCAGCGTTGTGTTATCAGGAGTGCAGCAGGCCTCGTTTGTAATAAAGCTTCAGTCAGCTCACTACAGTTCTGATGTTCATCACTCAGACCAGATCAGACCAGACCAGACCAGACCGGATCAGACCGGATCAGAGCTGCAGCTGCAGCAGCTTCATGTCTTCTGTCCCTTCTGTCACATGTACATTAAAATGTCCTTCTGACCACGGCCACGTGTCAGTGTGTAGTTTCACATCACACTGTTGTTGTATCACATTAACACTTGTATCTCTGATCATTTACAGGACATGATCGTGGACCAGAGGTCCTGTTGAACAGAACTTTTCTTACAGATACAACACGTTAAACTCTTAATAAGAATGATGTGAGTCCAGTCTGACAAGTCAAGACATTAAAAATGTCTGTGTGTAGTTTTTATAAGATGTTTGCTGAAATGAACAGAACAATCTAAACCAGGGGTGGGCAGTCCTGGTCCTGGAGGGCCGCAGTCCTGGTCCTGGAGGGCCGCAGCCCTACAGCTTTTATGTTTTTCCTGCTCCAACACACCTGGTTCAGTCACTGATTTACCTTCCAAGTTCTGCAGTATGGAGGACCAACACTGACATAATTATAAATAAAAGCAGGAATATATAAAT